ATATTTTACCTATGATCTTATTTGGTTTTTGGACGGTGATATAAACCTTTGATTAAAAATAACTTATAAGATCTTCTGTTTTATTTCTCTCTAGTCATTTTAGCTTTCTATTTTGTAAATGTTTTCACAATATGCTAATTCTACATATTAGTTTTCATTAAGTCACATAAACCTTAGAGATTTGCTAAAGGGAATTTTAAAAATAAAAATGCATCATCAGTTATATGTTTGAAAAGTTTGACTAGCTTGAGTGGTTTTCTTTGAACAAATTAAATTTTTTATTATTGTCTTTTAGTACACTTTAGAAGAATGACAAGCTTTTAGAATATTTGTAAATACATCTGTCTTAAAAATACAGCGTGCTTGGTTTTCAAAAACTGTCTCATAGCTACTAATTTGAATTTCAGGTGTAAAAACATTTTTAAATGTATGAGAATAATAATACAGATAATTTTAATGCTTATAGTAGATTTCATTCAGAACATCTTTGTATGGTACAGGTAATATTTTATCAGAATCTGCATGGGGGATGTAAAACTTTTGTGTTGTACAATATCTCTTTAAAATGAATATACTGCCAAATCATATATCCAATCTGCTGGAGCCAAACAGAGTTAATACATAGCTTCACAGAAGTGGATTAGCAAATGAAAAGAAGTGCTCTGAACCCAATAAAGGAAAATAGGAAGTGTCAAGAAAATACTCACATCCTCCTGTCTTGTCCTTCAAGCTTTTAGGTCTTTGTGTGATGAGGCCCCTTTGAGGATACCCAGGTAACTGTCTCTGTGCTTTGGCTCCAGGAAGGAGAGCAAACTGGGGATCTCTGGGGCAGCATCCTGGCTCTCCATCCAGCCCTTCCCTAGGCCATCCACCCCCTACTAGTTTCTTTCATAAGTAGACAGGGTAAGTGGGCCCCCTGCCCTAAAATATTAATCTCATGGTCTGTCATTCCACCATTCTGGTTTTAAGTCTTTCTATTTTTAAAAAGATTTTATCTTTGAGAGACCCCCTTTTAAAATGCAAATACCCCTGGGAGAGGTCAGACCTTAGTTCTCAGTTAACATCTTGATTATAAGTTAGCACCTAAGTTAGCTTAGTACATATTTGGCTGAGAAGAATGAACCCCTGGTTCAAAGTGATCAACTGGAAGGAAACTGGCATTTCGAAAACTTATTATTTTATTATTATTGGTAGCTAATATGTACTGAGGCCATATTATTAAGTGCCCAGAATTGTCTTCTAAGTTAATTCCTTCACCAATCCTATTGGTATTATTACTGTTATTTTACAGATGAAAAAACTGAAGTGCGTAAAGTATAAATAATGTCTATGATCACATACTAAATACAGCCAAATGTAAAACTCAGGCATTTGGATTCCAGTGTGTGCTGTCTAGCCATTTTGCTGTGATACCTCCCCTCTGCTATAAACATCTCTCAGAAATGACATCTGGTCAAGGGTTTACTCTTTTCACTAGTTTTCATGGAATAGAATCATGTTCAATTGTAGGTGCCTCTTCCTGTTGAAGGTCAAGAACCTTGCTGTCCTCTAAATAGGTAATTTAGTAACAACTGCAATAAAATAGGCAAATTCTTTGTATCCAAGGAAATGTTGCTATAAAATAGAGAAGGGAGTAAAAAGCCTAGTGTATAATTTTGCACGTGTATAACACTATTTTTGAGCTGTTTTAACTTAAAACTTACTGTATAATTAACATGTTATTTTTAAAATTTTGAAAATGTGGATTAGTAAAAAGAAAATACAATAATCTAGAGTCCCAATACCCAGAGATAACCCCAGAATAAATATATATATTCTCTCCAGGGCTTTTATATTGAACCTTCTCTGAATGTTGTGCAAGGTATTATTAACCCATTCTACTTCTTTAAAATTTTTAAATGAAATGCTTTTCTTTGAGTGTAAATAAATGGCATTTCCCTCTTCATCTCTGCAAGGATGTTGAAGTAAAATTAATCTATGATTTGCCAGAAACACGTTTAACTAAATTTCCTCTACATTCTTTATTTGATCTTTTTTGTATAAAAAAGGTAGTAGACTTTGGGAGGCTGAGTTGGGAGGATCACTTGAGGCCAGGAGTTCAAGACCAGCCTGGGAAATGGTGAGACCCTGTCTCTACAAAAAAAAATAAAAAAGTATTAGCAGAGTGTGGTGGCATATGCCTATAGTCAGAAGACTGAAGCAGGAAGATCACTTGAGCCCAGGAGTTTTGAGGTTGCAGTGAGATGTGATGACAGCACTGCACCTAGCCAGGGTGACAGCGAGACCTTGAAAAAAAAAAATAAGGTAGTAGAGAGTCCTAGATTCTTCCCCTAACCTCCAAATTGAATCAATTCTGTCAACCCATGTTTATTAAGTGCTGATTCTACCGCTGCTTCCTCCTTTAAAACTGCTACACTGCTACAGCTTTAATTTCATTATAATCTCTGGACTAGCTGTCTCTTTTAATCCTTTATCCCTCTTCTAGAGCTGTTTGCCATTCAGATCCCTTTGTAACCTACAAGTCTAATCATGTCATTCTCCTCTACAGGACTCCTCAGTGGCTTGATACTGCTCATAGGCTCTAGAAGCAATATTGGGGATAGCTGGGGCAAGTGATTCCCTGAGTCCCAGGACCCAGCAAGTGGGTCTAGATTAGAAGGAGAGTTGGGAGGTGTCCAAGTTTCAGATGCCCACATCCCCTTGGCCCCACTGACTACACATTAATGGAGGAGGGCCAGAGCAAGGGTCCCCAAAGTGTCACATCTGGTCCCTGGTTGTCTGGATGTAAAGGCAGACTGCCACTGTGTGTTGAGGTGAAAATGTTTGGTGGCAATAAGGTTGGAAGTGGGGAGACCATTTAGGAGTCTAATTGCAGGTCAGGCTTGATTGTGTCTTGGTCCAGGTTGGTGGCAGTAGAGGTAATAAGCAGTCAGATTCTAGATAGATATTGAAGTTAAAGCCAACTGTTTTTCCTGGCAGACTGATGTGGAGAAAGAGAGGAATCAAGAATGAGGCCGGGTGCGGTGGCTCACGCCTGTAATCCTAGCACTCTGGGAGGCCTAGGCGGGCGGATTGCTTGAGGTCAGGAGTTCGAAACCAGCCCTCACAAGAGCGAGACCCCGTCCTACTATAAATAGAAAGAAATTAATTGGCCAACTAATATATATAGAAAAAATTAGCCGGGCGTGGTGGCGCATGGCTGTAGTCCCAGCTACTCGGGAGGCTGAGGCAGGAGGATTGCTTGAGCCCAGGAGTTTGAGGTTGCTGTGAGCTAGGCTGACGCCATGGCACTCACTCTATCCTGGGCAACAAAGTGAGACTCTGTCTCAAAAAATTAAAAATAAAAAAAAGAATGATACCAAGGTTTTTTGACCCATTCTCTGTGAAGATATCAAATAATGGAATATATTAATCACTGATATCTCACTTTTGCCATTAGCAACTATTGTTGAATCTTAGGAGTTCTAATAAAATACCATATTTGACCAGATTTTAGACCTCAGTAAATTTTGAAGGAAGAGAAGTAAATTTAAAATGTGCACATGAAATGTGTGCACATGTTATTGAGTCTGTCATTACCTGATGTCTAAAAGTTAAGGAATAAAGTGCTCTGATTACTAGGAGATTTTACAAAAGAGGTGGGAAGAAACCAAAAATCAATTTTACCTTTGCAGTTTCCTAGGCCCTGTAGGTTGCACCTGCAGATACCATTGCAATTCATAGTCTTACTGCCCTAAAGATTTAAAGCATTAATCATGATCCACACAATGTTTTCAGTTCTGTAACTAGGTCCCCACATACACCCTGAACTTTATGTTGAATTAATAATTTAAAAAAATGTTTTGTGGTCATTACTTTTTAAATAGATTTCTGTTCATTATTAAGTTTCTGTAGCGGAAGTGTTCCTGACTTTAACTGATAAAGGAGCAAGTTCTTGGTAAAATCATATAGGCTTTTTCTTATTTGTTTAGCTTATTAGCTTATAATTTCAGATATGATTAGGCCTGCTAAAATAATATAAACCCTCATTTTATGGCTATCCACTTCATATTCTTCCTCTTTTCTCTTTATTTGCATACACATCCTTCTGTATTCATGAGAGTAGTCAAACAGGAAGGCATATTCTCCTTTTTTCTTTCTCTCTCCCTAAAGCAAATTGTCAAGTCTCTCAAGTCTGAGTATGTTATAGAGCCATAAAGTAAAGGTAATTATTGATTTACTAAATGGAAAGCCAAGTTTAATGGTAATTAAGTAGACTATTTAATATTTGTTTAAATATATGGAATATTAAGATTTGTTCACTATAACTACCATTATAGCTACCACTTATCGAGCATTTATCATCTGTCAGATAAATATTGTATCGTAATTCTTCAACAATTCAACTGAAATTTGTATGATTTTTTTCTTTTATGGATGAAATTTATAGAAGTTAAAATGTGCTCAAAATCATATAAATTTAATAGTATATGGCAGAAGTAGGAGTCAAACCTTAGTTTTTCTGCCTCAAAACCCTTTTATCTATGATTTTGCTTTTATCTATGATTATGCTTTAGGAACTCCACATAGGGCACAGAATGTTTTGTAAATATTATATTTGAGATATATTGAGATATATCTGGGTCTTGCCAGCCCCTATTTTTAAGATAGGAATGTAGTTTTGGACACTGCCCTCAGACTATTAGGTAAAAAGAATAGATCTTATTCTAAGACATTGAAAAATGGTCACTACCCATTTTTTACCACTAGATGGTGGCAGAAAATTAAAAACAAAAGTTTTTAAAGGCACCTCACTAGAGAAAGTAAGGTGAAATGTGTCCCTTTAGAGCAAGGTGGAAGAGATTAGGAAAGTGTAGAGCAAGGGAAAAGTGAGAACTGCTAATGTTATTATGGGATCAGAGAGAGCAAATTTATGTTTTTTTTGGGAAAATACATTATAAAAAGGAAACGTATTGGGTTCTTGTTTTTATTTAATTAAAATTTGACATTGTTCTGCTTAGTTTTCAGATACTTCAAGTATTGTGAACAGAGACTTGTTTGGATTATGTGTTTCTCAGCTAGACTAAATAAATGTTAATAATGGATAAGTGCAAACACGTTGGGCAGTTGCAAATTGCTCAAGACCATTCCATTCTCAACCCTCAGAAATGGCATTGTGTGGACTGCAATACGACTGAGTCGATTTGGGCTTGCCTTAGCTGTTCCCATGTTGCCTGTGGAAGATATATTGAAGAGCATGCGCTCAAGCACTTTCAAGAAAGCAGTCATCCTGTTGCATTGGAGGTGAATGAGATGTATGTTTTTTGTTACCTTTGTGATGATTATGTTCTTAATGATAATGCAACCGGAGACCTGAAGTTACTACGAAGTACATTAAGTGCAATCAAAAGTCAGAATTACCACTGCACCACTCGTAGTGGAAGGGTTTTACGGTCTATGGGTACAAGTGATGATTCTTATTTCTTACATGATGGCGCCCAATCTCTGCTTCAAAATGAAGATCAAATGTATACTGCTCTTTGGCACAGGAGAAGGATGCTAATGGGTAAAATCTTTAGAATGTGGTTTGAACAATCACCCATTGGAAGAAAAAGGCAAGAAGAACAATTTCAGGAAAAGATAGTAGCAAAAAGAGAAGTGAAGAAAAGACGGCAAGAACTAGAGGATCAAGTTAAAGCAGAATTGGAAAGTATGCCTCCAAGAAAGAGTTTACGTTTGCAAGGTCTAGCTCAGTCCACCACAATAGAAATAGTTCCTGTTCAAGTACCACCACAACCTCCAGCATCACCAGCAAGAGATGAAGTAGTATCTACCTCAGAAGACGTAGGACTTAAAAAAATCAGTGACTCCTCAGTTAAACGAAGGCCAATAGTAACTCCTGGTGTAACAGGATTGAGAAATTTGGGAAATACTTGCTATATGAATTCTGTTCTTCAGGTATTAAGTCATTTACTTATTTTTCGACAATGTTTTTTAAAGCTTGATCTGAACCAATGGCTGGCCGTGACTGCAAGTGATAAGACAAGATCTTCTTGTAAGCATCTACCAGTTACAGATACAGTAGTATATCAAATGAATGAATGCCAAGAAAAAGATACAGGTTTTGTTCGGTCTAAACATTCAAGTTTGTCATCAGGACTAAGTGGTGGGGCATCAAAAAGCAGAAAAATGGAGCTTATTCAGCCAAGAGAGCCAAGTTCACAATACATTTCTCTTTGTCATGAATTGCATACTTTGTTCCAAGTCATGTGGTCTGGAAAGTGGGCCTTGGTCTCACCATTTGCTATGCTACACTCGGTGTGGAGACTAATTCCTGCTTTTCGTGGTTATGCCCAACAAGATGCTCAGGAATTTCTTTGTGAACTGTTGGATAAAATACAACATGAACTAGAGACAACTGGTACCAGTTTACCAGCTCTTATCCCTACTTCTCAAAGGAAACTTATCAAACAAGTTCTGAATGTTGTAAATAACATTTTTCATGGACAACTTCTTAGTCAGGTAGGTTTTTGTTTTTTCTTAAGTCTTTATTTTCATCTTGGAATTCATAAAGTGAAGCCTAAAATTGCATATGTGTACACCTAGTGTTTTAGAGCTAGTACCATTTTCAGGTCAAACTAGATTGCTTTTATAAATGTATATAAAGAAATCATCTCACTCATTTACAATTCCTTCCTTCATGAATCATTGGAAATAGTTTTATGTCCATGGTATGGAAAGATTTTTTGGGGAAGGGGAATCAGGAAACAACTTCTTAGGTTAATAATACCACATTCATTCTCTTAGGGATTGAGATGAGGAGGGTTTAATCCCAGAGAGAACAGATCTGAAATTGCTACAGTACTAGGGATAAAGTTGGTGCACATTTGAGCAATTTCAGGGACCAAGGAGTAGATCTGGAGGACTCCTATAAAGCCAAAGGGTCAAGCTCTGAAAGCTTTAACAAGTAGGCAGGGAAATTTTAAGGTGAACAGATGTGATTGCCTAAATGGTTTTCCTTTATTTCAAGCACTGCTCAGACGTTTCCTTTGTTGTAAAAAGGGGGACTATATGTAACTAGATTCTTCATCTAATGAAATTATTAAAAATTGTTATACCAACTTTTTGCTTCTCTCCCCTTAATAAACCCTTAAGAAACTGATTCTCAGGAGATTAAGAAAGTTGATTGCTAGAATGGCTTTTTTTTTTTTGTCCAACTCAAGAAACTTCTTAATGTCAGCCCCTGGCAATAGTGAGTCCCCAGACTATAAACGCCAGGAGTGTACTTTGTGTCAATTTGTTAAATCTAATATCTGTATTAGAACTGGCTTCTGTATTTTGTTGCCTATGCCGGGAATGTAGCTTGTCTGAAAGGGCTTCTTTGTAACATTACATATTATATGTGGATTATTTGTTCATAGAATCTGTCTTCAATTATGTGCAGTGTGTGTTGGCATTTAATCCTGCTGAGTGTTTTGCTGAAGTTACTATTCATTTCCTTCCCAGTTGCTACATTGCATCTATAAATTCTTAGAACTGCTCCATGTTTTTGTGTTTTCTATATCTGGGTGGGGGTTTTAATGTAGTGATGTTTGCTTTAAGTGGGAGTATGATGACATTATTCATGTTATATGTATTGTATTTTGAAATTATCGTTTAGTAGTTAGTTCCAAACCGTTAGTTCCAAATCTATATAATGAAAAGCGCTTATAATTTGTATTATGGTTAAGACTGGATTGATTGGGTTAAGAAGCTATAGGATTTGTGGTTAGAAAAAAATCAGTGAAAGATGAGGAAGGAAAAAGGGTGAAGAACCTTAAAGACATAAACATGGGTCGGGCGCGGTGATTCATGCTTGTAATCCTAGCACTCTGGGAGGCCGAGGCAGGTGGATTGCTCGAGGTCAGGAGTTCGAAACCAGCCTGAGCAAGAGCGAGACCCTGTCTCTACTCTAAATAGAAAGAAATTAATTGGCCAACTAATATATATAGAAAAAATGAGCCTAGCCGGGCATGGTGGTGCATGCCTGTAGTCCCAGCTACTCGGGAGGCTGAAGCAGTAGGATCACTTGAGCCCAGGAGTTTGAGGTTGCTGTGATCTAGGCTGATGCCACGGCACTCACTCTAGCCTGGGCAACAAAGTGAGACTCTGTCTCAAAAAAAAAAAAAAAAAGGCATAAACATGTTAAATGTGTATAAATATCTCTTATATTTAGACATACATAATGTATATCTATTAAATACATCCACAGTTTTGGATTTTTACCTACATTCTAGATGTGGCTAATGCCCTTGGAGCTTTTTAATGCCCAGTAGTTGAAGCCTGCCAATTAATTCATAATGGATTTAATGACAGTCTTTTAGAAGGAAAAATTATAAAATCTTGACAAGAATATAACGGTGAGAATTCTAATGGTGCATTTTCAGATGAAAGTTCTATTACTAGTAATAACGTCTAGTGAAAGGAGTTTGTTTTGATGGAAAGATTGTAATGTGAAGAACTAATATTTTTATTTGCAGGTTACATGTCTTGCATGTGACAACAAATCAAATACCATAGAACCTTTCTGGGACTTGTCACTGGAATTTCCAGAAAGATACCAATGCAGTGGGAAAGATATTGCTTCCCAGCCATGTCTGGTTACTGAAATGTTGGCCAAATTTACAGAAACTGAAGCTTTAGAAGGAAAAATCTATGTATGTGACCAGTGTAACTGTAAGTAAAGAACAGTATATGCTCTGTGGTTTTCTAGGAGTGATAAAGAGAAACACAAATGAAAGGAAGCTGGAACAAATTTCTTAACTAGCAAATTTCTTAAGAAAAACAAACTTTTAAGTTCATTGAAAGAAATCAGACTAGACACTTTTACTTTATGGTTGACATTTAAAAACCATTTATATTGCCTTACTGATAGCATTTAAATTATTTTTGATCTTATAGTCATTGGGGAAAGAAAGAATTCATAAAATAAGTTTAAATTTCATATGTGGAACAGAAAAAAGTAGCAAAAAGTAAAAGCTTTTCATGTAGAGTGAATGAAATGTTTGCTTTATGAATTTTTTTGCTATATATCAAAGCATTATATATAAGTAAGTATGTGTGTACACATATATAATAGGAAATAATATATGCTGGATTGCTGCTGTGGAAATTGGCTTCATAAAAACAAAGATTGCCAGGCATAGTGGCTCGTGTCTATAATCCCAGCTACTGGAAGCCTGAGGAGTTTGAGACAAGCCTAGGCAGCATTGTGAGACATTGTCCCTAAAAAGAAAAAAAAAAATTTTTTTTTTTTAATTAGTTGGGGTGTAGTGGCATGAGGCCATAGTCTCAGCTACTCACGAGACTGAGGCAAGAGGATCATAATGAGCCCAGGAGTTTGAAGCTGTAGTGAGCTATGGTTGTGTCACTGCATTCCAACCTAGGCAACAGAGACCCTGTTTCTAAAAATCAATAAAAAAAGATTCTAAAGCTTTAGATACTAAACTTTCAAGGTAGTATAAAATATTGGATGTTCCAACATTGAAAAAATGTCATATGAGTTGATGATTTTCTAGAACAACTTTAACATTTTTTTCTGAGTGGTATCTAATGTGAACTCTATTATATAATAAGTAGCCTAAGAGTTATAAGGTTTTAGAAAAAACAAACCTTTTTTAAAGGTATGATGAAGTATTTTTTCTCAGACATAAATGCAAATAGTCACAGATGCTTTCATTACCTAATTTGGGAGTAGACAAATATGAATGTAAAATATAGTTTTATACAAAGTTTGTTTATATGTCTACTGGGAATACCAAATACAGGCCTAAGAGACCTGCTTTAATACATAAAGGCAAATACTTAAAATTATAAGTCAAGGAGTTACATCCCCTGTCTAGCTACACTTGGACTATATGTTGTAGGAGACAATCCAGAGAGAGATACAGAATACTTTCAGCAGCAGCCGGATACCTGGATCTCAGGGGTATAGTCCTAAAGGAAAGGCTTTTGGTGGCCAGCAGGGGTGGCTTAGAGCACAGCCTCATGACGCACTGATTCTACCTCCTACATGAAAAGCAGCTGCTGTGGCTGGAATCAGAGCTGAGGGACAAGTTGAGCTGCGGTTCTCCAACCCCTGGACCATGGACTGGTACCAGTCTATGACCTGTTAGGAACTGGGCTGCACAGCAGGAGGTGAGCGGCTGGTGAGGGAGCAAAGCTTTATCTGTGTTTACAGCTGTGTTTTCATTTGCTTGCATCACCACATAAGCTCTGTCTCCTGTCAGATCAGTGGGGGCATTAGATTCTCACAGGAGCACGAACCCTACTGTAAACTGCGCATGCGAGGGACCTAGGCTGCGCGCTCCTTATAAGAATCTAATGCCTGATGATCTGAGGTGGAGCTGAGGGAGTGATGCTAGCACTGGGGAGTGGCTGCAAATACAGACTATCATTAGCAGAGAGGTTTGCACAGTAAATGTCATAAGCTTCAATCATCCCAACACCATCCTCCCCCACCCTCTAGTCTGTAGAAAAATTGTCTTCTATGAAACTAGTCCCTGGAGCCAAAAAGGTTGGGGAACTACTGAGTTGCTCCTGGCTATCAGGAGCAAACTTTGATAGCCAGTGGCCTGCCAGAAGCTGCAGGACACAATCCACAGAGAGACCTCTGAGGGGACAATAAGAAGAATCCCAAGTTACACTTGTCTCAGATGTACTGCCAAAAGAACAAAAGTAAAGCACCGGAGTGAGGGAGGCCTCAGGTGCAGAGCTGGTAATGGCCTGCTTTCTTAGACCATCAGCCAGGGCTGGGGTCAATCCCCAGGAAGGGTGGTAGGGTGATCTGGGCAGTCAGGACACCTGTCCCCTGTATATTAAAGTATATTTAAGGGAGCATTTTAATGTTTTCCTATTAATTGGCATAGCCAAGTCCGTTTTTAAATATTATAGCAGTATACTTCATTCCGTTGCCTTATTTCCAAGGTTGTTATAAAATCATGTACTTATTTTACCTGCCTAACTTGACTAGCTCATCCAGTTTCATTCTTTTTTTTTTTTTAATTAGATCACAAGTTTCTGGAGGGCAAAGCCCATGTCTGTATATCTAGCACAGTACAATGCCTGTAACACAATAGATATTTAATTAGTTCATGACTGAATTAAAGTGTTTATTCATCTTTTTCTTGTATTTTTAAATTTGATTTTCATTCTTTCTTTAATATTACAGCAAAACGTAGAAGGTTTTCTTCAAAACCAGTTGTACTCACAGAAGCCCAGAAACAGCTTATGATATGCCACCTACCTCAGGTTCTCAGACTACACCTCAAACGATTCAGGTTAGTAGTAGTAGTATTAGCAGTTGCCAACTCTACACTTCTAACATGATCATTTCTTGTGCTTATCATGCCTCAAAACTTAAGGAGCACATGTGATGAACTAACTTTAATACCATGATACTTGGCTAGTAGATGACTTACATTTGCTTCCCCCCACCCCCGACAGCAGAGCATTGCTTTTTTTTCTTTTGTTTTCTTTTGTTTTTAAGGAAAAAACAACAGATACTATCCATAAGTAACCATCTGATTCGCTTCCCTTGTAGAATGTGTTGCTGATCAGCAGATCCCTCACATTTCGGTGTGCTGGGTGGTATTATTCTCTTTGTAAATTTAATTCTGCTTATAGTGTTTAATATTCACCATATTTAAGGTATGAAAATTTGTAATTTAATCTATAACTTAAAACTATTTGGCCAGTTGCTTTGTCCTTAGAAAATATTTTATCTAAGGTACAGCAGTTTAAAACAATTTTTTCAAAACCCCAAAACTAGTCTTCTGAAATATATTTAGGTGAATTAATTGGCAAACTGATTGACCAAAGTGAATGGTTTCATACTTTGCATGAAACATGTTAATCTGAGAGGCTATTGTTCTCTTAAGGAATGAGACACACTGCAGAGGTTACTTAATGTGCTATCATTTGAAAACTATTAAGACCATGTTTCTCATATTAGTCGTTGCTATTTGTCTTAATAATTAAAACTACATGTTTTTAAAAATTCAAGCATTACAGAAGGTAAAGTAATAGTACCTCTTTCCTCTGAATCCCACTTCCCACAGATACTGTTAAGTTCATCATTCAGTTATTCACTCTAATTGTTACAGATATAATCAGCAAATATCATATGAATACTTTTTAATGCAAGACGTTCCATATGTCTTTGAGGAATATAAAGTGGGATCCCTTTTTCAAGATTATAGTGAGGCATGTACAGAAGTTATGGTAAAGTAGAAAAACTAAGTATCATAAACTGTATAAAAATATCTATCAGAGACTTAGAAGAGGGAGTTACCTGATGTCTCTTTCCCAAAGCCTCTCTAATGGCACATGGGGCTCTAGATCATTCGAATCTCAGTTCATATGTCACATCTTTAAAGAGGACTTTGACCATCCTGTTTTAAAGTAGTACCACCCATGATGTTATCCTATTTTGCATACTGGCAAAAACTACTATCTGCAATTAAATAGCTCATTTACTTATTTCTCTCCTCTTGCCAATAGAACAGAAGGTCAGTAATGACTTAGCTGTTTCTTCCTTGTATCCCAAGGCCTAGAACCATGCTCCATATAGTAGATGCCATAAACTATTTATTAAGTGAATGAATGGAGTATACACAGAAGGAGGAGCATTTAGCCTAAGGGAGCAATGTAAACAAAGGTATGGAGGAAGGAGTAGGACAGAGTATGCATCAGAAGGTTTAGTGAAAAATCAGGTGGGTCCTGCCATTGTGTATAAAGTTAAGTAACATGAAGCAGGAAGATTAGTTAGGTTAAGAGTAACAAGGGCCATAGTGATTGGAGAGATGAGTACATATATAAGATTTTACAAAGATAGAATTGTGAAAGGGCTTAAATTTTTGTTTTTGTTACTTAAACTGGTACTTAATTGCCTACTATAAACTATTGAAGAATCTCCTGTTCTTCATAGTTGCTACTTTAATTCCATCATAAGTGTTACTTAATCTGGCATTTGCAGCTCTCCTTAATTCAAATCTATTTGACTCTATCTCCTACTATTTTCTGCCTAAAATATTTTTAACTCTTTGTGCCATTTCTGATCCCAGAAATTTTGTTTTCTTTACCTCGTTTCTTTCTCCTTTCTCTTCATATATTAAAAAATACTACTGCATTTGCCAGAATGTAAGACATATAAATGTATAAAATATAAATCCCAATTTTTTTTTCTTTGAGATGGGGTCTTGCTAAGTTGCCCTGGCAGTACTCCGGGACTCAAGGGATCTCATGCCTCAGCCTCCCAAGTAGCGTACACTACAGGGTACTAATCTGCCTGGCTATAAATCCCAATTTTTAAAGGACTTGTTTAGATGGGAATCCTTTTCTCTAAGTGTGTATTAGGCATGATATTAAAGTGGCTTTATAGAGAAAACATGATTTTATTCCTATAGCTTATGATTAATCATTTTTTAAAAGTAAGTATATAGCTAAAAAACTGTTATAATTACTTTTGGCAATTATACTTTTATATGGTATTAGTAAGCAACAAAACCCAGCAAATGTATTAGTAAATGAAGTCCCATACCTTATAGGTGATATTATAAAAGCAAATACTAATACTATACTTCAGTATTAAGGGCAAAATATAAAATAGAATGATTTTCTATACAGACAGTATAAATCAAAAGCTAATATGGAAAAGCTAATTGGAATGAATTACCAAATAAGTAGCCACATATAGAGAAAAAGCATCCAACAAAATAACAAAAGTAGCGTATATCACCCATCAGTACAGAGCAAGAAATAAGGGGAAAAAATCTAGTAGAAATTTACATTTAGTTATAGTAAATACTTAGCTATATAAGCAGAAAAGTTTGACCAAAAAAGTTCATCTTCATCCTGTGAGTTATCTTTGCAGCTAAATAAGTCTTAACCCAAAGCATTAAAAAAATAATGTTAATTTCTAAATTTCAGCTGATTCGTTATTCAGCAGTTTGGAAACTAACGCATCATTCTTTAAAAAATTCCACTGTGCAGCCCTAAGTATTATCTTTCACAGTTAAATCTCTCACAGATCCCTACAGTTAAACTTAGTCACGTATCTCTTAACTTGTGAGGGATGAGTTACACTATGAATACATTTAATTCCAAAATGTTAGAGAAACAATCCAAGCTTTACTGATGATTATAATTGTTAAGAAAACTGATAGGATGTGAACTTTTTATATTTCTAGCAAAGGTTATTGTTGTTCTGGCCTCCTGCCAGAGGTATTAGGAATGGGGAGGCTGCCGTGGATTAACTTTGGTGTTGTCACCTTGTAGGTTCTCCACTTTGAATGCAAACGGCAGACTTCTCTGTTAACATTTCCTTAATCTTTCTTATATATGTGTATTTGTGTGATTATGTCTATGTGTATGTATACACACTCTTAAATATATACATTTTTAAATTTTTTAATTTATTTTTAAAACATAAAATAATGTAATGTATATAATATTCTAGATAATGTTGTTTTTTTTTTTTTGAGACAGAGTCTCACTCTGTTGTTGGGGCTAGAGTGCTGTGGCGTCAGCCCAGCTGACAGCAACCTCAAACTCCTGGGTTCAAGCAATCCTTCTGCCTCAGCCTCCCGAGTAGCTGGGACTACAGCCATGTGCCACCATGCCCGGCTAATTTTTTCTATATATTTTTATTTGGCCAATTAATTTCTTTGTATTTTTAGTAGAGACGGGGTCTCACTCTTGCTCAGGCTGGTCTCGAACTCCTGAGCTCAAGCAATCCTCCTGCTTCGGCCTCCCAGAGTGCTAGGATTACAGGCATGAGCCACTGCGCCCGGCCTGGATAATGAGTATTTTTGAGGAAAAGGGAAAATGGGACTGGTAGGGGCATGAAGGGCACACAGGAGCCTTAGAGGAAGCATAAGAAATGAAACATTTTTTTTTTTTTAATTCTTTTTGAGATGGAGTCTCGCTTGGTTGCCCAGGCTGGAATGCAGTGGCACAGTCACAGCTCATTATAACCTCACACTCCTGGTGATCTGTCTGCCTCAGCTCCCCAAGTAGCCTGGGACTATAGGTGTGTGTCACTATGCCTGGCTAATTTTTAATTTTTTGTAGAGATGGGGTCTCACCATGTTGCCTATGCTGGTCTCAAACTCCTGGCCTCAAGCAATCCTCCCTCCTCAGCTTCCAAAAGTGCTGGGCTTACAGGCTTGAGCCATGCCTGGCCAGAAAGATGACAAATATTTATCTCAACATCACAGAGGGAAGGGTCATCTACTGCAAGTATCTAGACCTAGGACATGGTCCTTTTCCCTTAATTTTGTTGATAATTTTACTCTGGTTTGGTCACAGGTGGTCAGGACGTAATAACCGAGAGAAGATTGGTGTTCATGTTGGCTTCGAAGAAATCTTAAACATGGAGCCCTATTGCTGCAGGGAGACCCTGAAATCCCTCAGACCAGAATGCTTTATCTATGACTTATCTGCTGTAGTAATGCATCACGGGAAAGGATTTGGCTCAGGACACTATACTGCCTACTGCTATAATTCTGAAGGAGGTATAGATAGGAAAAATTTTTTATGTTTCATTAGGCTTGGAAGGTAGAGTTCAGGTTTTAGCAATTTTTAAATTAGCTACTAAATCATCTTAAATCACTTATTTTCTTTTTGAAGAATGCTTCTGCAGTACTGTTGGTTTTTTAAAGAAATGGGAGTTTATGCAGAAAATTAGACACTATATATTTCTGCAGGTTTGCAGTACTTTTTTTTACTTATTAAGAGCTGTATGACTAGGATAATGAAGATAGTCTTGTTAATTAAAAGTCAGAGAGTATTATCTTTTCTTAAAGGCACACTTCCAAGAAGAGGTCTTATGCTTACTGTTTTATTTCAGTTAATTTTGTTAAATAGGGCATTTTAATCAACTTGGGGGTTACAGATATTTGTAACAAACATTCAGTTCAAGTTTAACATACAAAACTCACTTTCATTTGCTGCCTCCATGGACCCTTCCAGGACAGTGTAGTCCTAAGAAAGGTAATTGGATTGAGGTTTCACTTTTTACTTCCCCTTTTGGTACCTACAGTTGAACAACGAATGAACCACCAGTACCCCCAACAAACAGAAAAGAGGTGTTGACAAAAAGCCCAGATAATCCAGTAAGGCAATTAAATTCAACATTAAACTACCAAGAGTTAGTTGTACGCTAACTAATTGCTTTATGATACTGTTTGAATATCCCTTATCCAAAATGCTTGAGACCAGAAGTGTTTTTGATTTTTTATATAATTTTTTTTTTTTTTAAGACAGGTGTGGCTCGGTCACCCAGGCTGGAGTGCAGTATTGTGATCATGGCTCACTGCAGCCTCAAACTCCTGTGCTCAAGCAATCCTCCCACTTCAGCCTCCCAAGTTATATTAACAATTTTGTGCTTGAAAGTTAGTGACTAACTAATGGTACTAGTGAACCATCAGAAAGCAACGGTGTCACTATCTTAGCCCCCTGTGTGGACAGTCTGGTGGTTTGGCATCACCATCATTCCTAACTCTGAATTTATATCTACCAACACACAATCATGTTATTATACTTATATGCCCACAAGTATTTAACAGTAAAAAACATGACATACCATAAATATAGTGAAAAAAATAGCATTCAGGGTTACTTGTGATGTCATGTCAAAGTTTTGGCTTTTCAAGTATTTGGATTTTTGGATTAGAGATGTTCAACCTGTATGATTAGTGGCAAAAACATTCAATGGTAGGTTTCGAGCGTGAATAGTGTCAGGTACTCTAAGCAGATTCTATAATTTCAAACTTCTAGAATAAAGGTAGATAATTCTAGGGTAACATACATATGGCCCAAGCTATATTTCTCACTAAAGAAAAATTGGCTAGAAAATTATTTTCCTTTCAGAAAAAGCTTAACTCTGACAAACACTTATTGTACTAAAAATTTCTAAAGTTCCTTTATAAACATATTTCTGTGCTTTGCTTTAGGGTTCTGGGTACACTGCAATGATTCCAAGCTAAGCATGTGCACTATGGATGAAGTATGCAAGGCCCAAGCTTATATCTTGTTTTATACTCAACGAGTTACTGAGAATGGACATTCTAAACTCTTGCCTCCAGAGCTCCTGTCTGGTAGCCAGCATTCCAGTGAAGAAGCTGATACCTCTTCTAACGAAACCTTTAGCTGATCCAAAGACAGTGGGGCTTTCCTCTTACGATTTGTATATATACTTTTTAAAAGGGCTGACTTACAATTTTCAGCTTCATTGTTTTTATTTTTTACTTATGAATCAGTGCACACTACAGTTATACATTTTGTATCTAACTCTACAACAAAACTTTTTTTTACAGAGACAAATATATCAACTGCAGGTAACTATGTTCAAATACTTGGGAGTTTTAGAGTTTACCTCAGACTGGTGTTACCTCTTTTATATTTTGATGTCTTAATTGGCTTAGATCATGAATTTGTGCAATCTTCTACTGAAGAAGAAGTTCAGGTGGCATCATTTTATATACATTTGTTACTTATTTATCTTTTGTAGCTATTTTCTATACAAATTTTTGATGGATGGAAAATTAGATACTTACTTCACTAATAGTCTTACCAAAAAAAAAAAAAGGCTTTTCTTTCAGGCCATTTGTATATTGAAGTCACCTTTGCCCCTTGAAGGGAGTTAAACTAATACTTCAATGTATTAGTATCACCAATACTCGCCAATCATACTCGATATTCCTGAGGCTTTGTTATAGGCCTCAGAACAGATATTACTTTGGTTAGTGCAACTTCACTTAAAAATTTATTGTTTATTAAAATAATTGTTATTTGGCATAGTCAAACTGTATCTAAATGAAAATGACAGCTTTACAAATATATTTAAGTGAACTTCAGAACTATGGACATTAAAAAAATGATGGCTGGGATTTATGATTTCTGTCTGGCAGCAAACAGGTTTGTCTAGATTCTCATAAAACAGTCATATAAAAAATGTGAATTTAGCAAACTGGTATATTATGATGTTATTCAAATATTTTATCTTGGGTACGGGTTTAGATCTCTTAAAGCTTTGTGTATCTTGATTTTTAGCTCAAAGGAGAAAAAAATTGTAAAGGGCAGAAAAGATAATTGTTCGATATTGGTAATTGGGCTGTATGTCTAGCACCTCACTTTCCTAAATTAAGCCAGGATTACTTACTTTTGCTAGAATTATGTGACTACTAGGTAGAAGCCTCTTAGATAAACACTGGCCCAAGCAGTTTTTTTAAAAAATTTAAAGTTATCTAAACTTGCATTTAAAAATAGTACGACCCTTTTTGCTCTTTTAATAATCTAGTAAGATCTCTTTAAAGTTGTATTGCTGCTAACTTAATCTCATTTAGAAAGGGTAGAATCCACTAACCTCTGTAGATCAGCTATATAATATCTTAAGCTCGGTGTTAACCACTGGAGATCATTTATTAATTTTCTCTTAAGTGGGTTTATTTGCCAGTTAAAATCTTAATGAAAGATAATATCCTGTAGAATGCTGTTTGCCACTAGTGATCATCTATAAGTATAAACTAGAAAGGGACCTCTACTAGCAAATATGTCTTAAATTTCAAAATAAGTCATCTGGGTCAGCCGGTAGTGAAGTGCAATGAGACTCTATTACTGAATAGACAAATCATTTGTGCCAAATATACATCTGGAGTATTAAATGGCTAGATTTAAAATTGTTCATTTACTAAACACCTATGCAAGTTGTTACCTCAACTGTTACATACTTATACCTCATTAAAGATTGATGTGGTTAAGATACCTGAGTCTACCTTTTTCTAATTTCAAACACTATTTTTGAGACATACATATTTAGCACCTAATTTTAATGGGATTTAAAAAAACTCGGAACTATGTTGTTTGTTAATGGTATAGTTGCTTGTACGTACTTAAGTGTAAAAATATACAAGAGATAATGACTTAGCCCTTTACTTTTTAATCCCTTAAAACTAACACCCATGGGGGGGTTGTTTCAGGGTGGATTTGTAAAATCTGTAGTCACTTTACACTAAATTTTGCTATAAACCTAAAACTGCTCTTAAAGTCTTAAAATACCAACAACAAACTAAAACCTTCAACAATAAACAAAACTTAGATTTCTTACTACCTTAAATCTCAACTTGGACTTCTACATTCTTAGTTGATCTAACAAAAAAGCAACATGTTTTGGTTGTAAAAGATTTACTAAAGGCACTATTGTTAAACATCAAACTAATCTGTTACCAGTAAGATACATCATTGTAAATGTAACAATTTCAAGCAATACAGGGCTAGTAGGCAAACAATACAGTTTTAAGTAACAGCTTTCCTATTTATAAGATCATATCCCTTCCGGCCATTCCAGAGATGTACAGTGATGCCATAGCTCCACTTGTGACCTGAGAAGGAAGCTTGGAGCTCATAATTTGAGGTCACTACTGCCCAAGATCTTATAAAGCTACAAAATTCTTCACTCATAGGGGTCAATTCTAAAATTCCTGGGTTTAGAAATCATAACACTTGCTTTATACCTCCTACCAAAGCACACAAAAAAGGTATAGACTCAAAACCCCCAAGGAGTTAGCTGGAGGGTACAAGCCCTGCATATATCCAAGCATGAACTGGTGAGCTCTGCTGCTAGCACAGCATCGCAGAAAATGGAGAAATTATATAAAGGTGGCTATTGAACATTAGCACCATGATAAACATAGCTCACATAGCTAAACGCTAGATTGATTTTGCCACAATGTAACATTCATATCTAATGCTGAAAAAGCTTTTTACTAACAAATGATCTAAGTACAGAAGTCATAGGTTTCCCTTTGTATTAGAAAAAAGTTAAAATACAAACTAAACAGCATCCCAGAGGCAATAAAACCTTATTGTGCTAAAGCATATACAAATTAAGGCTTGACCTTGGTACATAGCAATTTTGAAATTATGTTGGAACATTGCCACCCAATCATATACATATAAACATTCAAGCAGTTCCTTAAGGAATCAGTAGTGGGGCTCAGTTCAAACAAGTTAATATTATACATCCTTACATTCAACTTAATAAATTTTGCTGCTGTACGGAGAGTAAATGCAACCTCACTTCCTGAAATACCACTAGTAGCGTTAAGAATCCAAATCAGTCAAGTGGAAGAATATTATAGCATTTGGCTCATGAATGAAAAAGCCTTATAATTTCAGTTTAACCTTTCTAATTAGGATAAGATCCAAACATGGGAAGCTTTCCTGTTTTTCTTTGCTTTTTTGGCTTTAATGCCCTTTTGGTTTTTTTGAACAAGCTGTACAGTTCCCATAAATATTACCATTGGACAAAGGATCTAAATGTTGAGATTTTTACTAAATCAAAGTTTTGAGTTAGCACAATGTTCCTACTAAGTCATGTTTCAATTAGTGCATCTTTCCAAATGTCAGAGGGGGGAAAAAAAATGAAAGAATGACTAGTATGGTCCTATAAAAAATTGCATAATATTTCTAAAGCTACATATTTATGAAGAAAGGGTATTGTCCCACTTTATGGATGTGTAGATCTTGTTTGAGCCACTATGCTGGAAGAAAGTCTCAGCGTAAAGGTCTACAATCCAGACAAAAGGCTCCACATTTTCCTACATTAAATTTAAGCTATTTTCTGTCCAGAATTATAACCACAGACATTGAAATGTAGCTCTCAGATCTGAAAATGTCTTTATTTTTTAGAAAATGGATTCCAGGAAGGTTAAAAAGCAATATCAGAGGGTATAGGTGCAGAATTGGATGTAGTCATTCAAAGCATTCAAGTAAGAGTATGGCAATATAAATATCCAAAAAGCATCTCTTAGGTGTTCAAAACAAAATCTTTAAGTCTTTCCTAACTAATTTGAGCTTTATAGCATTTCCTAGACAGGAAAGGGTAAAACAGTTAACATTTGAAAAGTCTTGAAAGCTTTTTCCTTGGTTAATTACATTAGACAGTTTGTTTTTGATCAAATTCCTTCTTTTTTAACATGGATAAAAAGTTATTACATAGGTCCACTGTTAAAACAGACAACATGTTGCAAATTAATTCTGGTATAATGTATTCCAACAAAGCTTTTAGAAAATAAAGACGTTGAAGTGGCTTTGGACTAAGTTTAATAGTCATCTCCTCTGCTGACAACTTCTTTACATGTTGGACGCAACAGTATGGTATGTTCAAACTGTGCTGTATATGATCCTTTAATGTCACATAATGGTGGATATGGATCTACAATGCCCAAGTCACACAGATTCTTCAAAGCCATCAAATATTTACTTTCTCCCAAGCGATCCAGCCATCTGCGGCAGAAGGCAAGGGTGCCAAAGTTTTCATTGATAACATTTAACAAGTGTTTTGTTCTTGGAAGCCTAAAAGGGAAAAAGTCCAAGATTAATAGTTGGCAAGAGTTACCAACCAAACCATAGCTATGTCTTAGTAAGTAAGGTTCAAAAACTTTTGTTGTTACTCTTTCAACAAGCAAAAGCCAGAATGTATGATAGCCAATACCTAATTAATAGATGGCAGCTGAATAGGAAACCAGCTGGATGCCATCTTATAGTGCTTATGTGTCTATGCATGTGTGTTTAATTCCCAGGACACACTCATCTACAGAGTGGCATCATGGGAATTTCCTTTGGTATGCCTCAAGCTCAAAGAAAGACCTGAACATAAAATGAGGCATAAATCCAGGCTTCAATCATCTTCTCCAAAAGTAGTAGTTACTAGTGAGAAAACATTAATACCAACAATTGGGAAGGATAGCAAAATAATAATCTCTGATGTTACTATATTATGAAACTGGATTTAAAGAGAATACTTGCCTATATATGTTATTTTCATCTCAAAATGTTAACATGCCAATTTTTTTTGCCATATCATAGAAACTCACAGAACTTACTGTTAGGCTATAAACCTACACATTGTATGTATGTCGCATTTTTAAAAATACTATCAAATGAGAAGAGATGCTCCTTAGTCATATAAAAATCAAAAATAAAAAAAAACATGCTGGCTCCCTAAGTGGCTAGGCAAAAAAGTAAAATAAAGAGTCTCTCACCTTATTGGCACATGTCCAACATCAAAATTTTTCATGTAATGTGAACATTCCATATCATCATGAACAACACCTTTTCCTGTACTGCCAAAGGTTTCAATTGCATAAACTTCTCCTTCCTTAAAAATACATAAGGATCAAGGTAAGAGAAGAAAAATTCAGAACTAGTCACAATCACCATCTCTTGACTTCCTTGGTTAATAGAAGCATGAAATAGCCCCTGGTAGTCCTTATCCAGCCTCTCCCTGCTTAGCATTTTTTGGGTTTTCTGCCACCTCCTATCAGAATACAGGCTATGCACGAGCAGGGTATTTTGTTTTGTTCACTACTATATATACCTCCAGTGCCTACTAAAGATAGTGGCACCTAGAAAATGTTCAATAAATATTCATTAAATGTTGAATAAACAATACTTTATCAGTTGCAACATCCACAGCTAATTTTGCTCTGGTCTGACCATACACCATTTGCACAAATGGCCCGATTCCTATCAGGGTAAGTATGAATAGCAAGCTAATTTTGGTCAACATACTATATACTTAACTATCACTAGCTTTTGTTTAGGGGAAAATAAAATCACAATGTTTTTCACAGATGTGTTAATGACACACATACCTCCATTCTTGTTGCCTCTCCTCCTTTCACAATGGGCACTGTTTTTCCAGCATGTATTCTATACTGCCCAATTGAATGTCCATTTAGATTACGGATTGGTTTCACTGTCATAATAAAGAGAAACAAAAGTTATTCAGGATATCTACAAGCACAAAGTATCTCTTGGCCTTTTGGTACAGAGTTCAAGCATTTATTTAAAAATAAGATATCACTCTCCTAAATAACCTTAAATTGAGGTAGTTAAATATAAAGTGAAACTTAGCAAAATATAAAAAGTAGTTTATTGCAGTGTTATTCCATATACTTCAAAATTAAATGTTAACTGTTTAGGGTTGCATAATTAGATAGTAAAGACATAAAGAAAAGCAAATGCAAATACTTTCATATTTGCAATACTTGATAGCTAAATTTAAGACTTAGACAGCATTACTGTTTCTCCAAGACCTGGCAAACTGACCCCACCAGCCAAATCAACCTTGATATCCCAAAGGAGGTGGGAGGATTAACAATGAATAGAAGAATTCTTCCTCAAAAAACAGAGATATGCCAATGAGTCTGAGTGAGCAAGTAGAAAAACAAAACAAAACAAAACAAAAAACACCATAAATAATAAGGATAGAAGGTAGAGTTTTCTTTATGCTTTATGCAACATGGCAAAAGTTAAGGGATGTCAGGCCTATTTGGCTATTTTTCTTATCAAGTAAGTAATTTCCTGAAAGGGAAAAAAAGATTTAAGAGGAACTTGAATAAGCACTGTATTTGTGGCACCAATCCCAGAACTGGGACAGGAAGGGGAAGAATGACAAATATTTGTTGAATACTTAATAAATTTCAGGTACTATCATATAATTTACATTTCTGAAAAATAGTCCCTTTACAGTTTAAGAATTCTGGGTGCTCAGAGGTTATAGGATTTAGCTAAATTCAAAGTTAGACCTGCCTGACCCCAAAGCATGTTTTCTTCATTATCCACAACACCACCTATCCAAGTGTGAGTAGCCTTAAAGTATTTTGCATTGCACTGACGTTCACAGCATTAAAGATATGCCAAAGAAAATCTAAAAATCAAAGCGTTAATGGATTTAAGGTACAAATGAAAAAGAATTA